ATTTCCAGACGTTTGTTTTGAACATCAAAAATACTTTCAACTTCATTGTAAAGTAAGATGAGAAGACAAAAGATGAACGATCCTCTAGTATAATGTCATAATTGATGTAGACTATGAAGATACTACTCTAAAATTGCCTAGAAAAAAGATAAAAATAAAGAAAGATTGATCTTGACTCAATAACAAAATAAAACAGAAGGACCGAAAGATCTTTTTTCTAAATATTATATGGAATGGTTTATTTTTTTAGTAAAATTAAGAATCTTTAGAAAGGATTTTCATAAACTCTATTTAGTACTTTTATATGCTTATATAGATGTTTTTATCATATAAAAGCATAATAGAGTTGACATTAATCTTTAGTTTATCTTTTTTTACGAAGTCTATCAATGATTGAAAACAAACTTCATATTCTCTTTAGTTTCGTTCTAGCCCACTTTTAATCAAATATGTTGGCTCATTGACTTTAATTATTCATCTTCCTTTTATAATGTTATTTTTAAGTATTTTTTACTTTTGCAATATAATATTTTCTCAAGTCAAACATGGTTTCATGTCGGTCCAAATAGCAAGAAAATTATCAAACATAAAAATTTAAACTCGATGTAGCCCAGTCAAGCTAACATCAAAGAAAATAAATAATCACAATGCTAAAGTTTAGAGATATGAATGAGCAAAAGCTATCAAAGTGGAACTGAGAAACAACTTTTAGTAAGAAAATAAATCAAAAATACTTGATCATGATATTTAACCACGTGCATTGCACGTGAATAAAGCCTAGTAATCATACTCTCTTTAAAAGTATGGGTTCGGGAAAATCTTTTGGCAGACAAAAAATACCCTTGAAATTCAAATTAATCCATTAAGTAAGAGTAAGTTGATAAATTGATAAATTCTTATTGGATATACATAGTATGAAGATAATGATACCATTAAGTAAGAGTAAGTTGATAAATTGATAAATTCTTATTGGATATACATAGTATGAAGATAATGATATAGTTTAAATTAAAATGTAAACCTAAATGAATTTATTAAATACCAAATTTACAAATGTATACAAGATGATTGGCGTATATGCAAAAAAACCAAACAAATTAGTGAGACAAATAATATCCGCTACAGAGGTCGAACCCCATAACATCGCAGACCTACAAATATAGATAATGTGGACGGAGTATTTGCAAAATCCACCAAACAAATTAAAGAGACAAAATCGTTTTGAAAATTACAAAAAGGAAAAATTAAAATAAACGACTGCGATATGAGGACACAACGTGGCGATCTCTCACCAACTAAAATTCAAAAAGTTCACGACATAATTAGTTTTAAAGTTTAATTATACTATTATTATTTAAATAGAACTCTATTTACAATCGTTATTCTCTCACATGCAATATCACATACCAATGTTTATATGCCAAGAAACTACAACAATTTTCGTAGCACTTTTATCTCTTTCTACATGTATTTGCCTTTGTTATTTTCTTCTTATTAGATTAGATTAGAATATTTTAAAGCAATTAATTATATTGTATATTTGATATTTTTTCATATCAAGAAATATCAACAATTTTTACAACACTTTCATCTATTTTCTTCTTATTAGATTAGATTATTTTAAAGCAATTACTTATATTATATGTTTTTTAGATCATAAAGTTTAATTATACTATTATTATTTAAATAGATACTGTTTGTATAAAAATCAAAGAGAATCTCACACATATCTTAAATCTCAATGCCAATTGTTATATTTACACATGGGTGTTGGTTAAAATAAATTTCATGTATGGGCTTAACTTATATAATCCTACTTTAACCGGATTAGATAATTTAATTTTTTTTAACACCCAAACTCTTCCACAAAACCAAAAGAGAGTAGCAATGCTATATATAAAATAAACAAATAAAATAATTTTAACATTTAACCACGCACGTGCGCAAGAACTAGTAATATAATATATAATAATAAACAAAAGGGGCAGTCTATCTAAAGAATTTAAGGGTTAACACTGGATAGACCCCATTTATTCTATTATTGCTGATAGGTTACCCCTCGATCTAACTCCAAACTTAATGATCATTTCATATATAACTAGTTTAAATCGGTAACCTAACGAAGTTGAGAATCCAGGAGGTCAATCTGCAACAATAGAAGTAAAGGAGGCCTATCCACAATTTGGAGATAGTACAAGAGGTTTATCCGTAATTAACCCAAATTTTTTTCAACTATATAACAAGATCAACAAATTCTGAAAAAGTCAACTTTCACATACTAAACCATAGAAATTTGCATGCATGAATCAATATTAATACAAGTACAATCAATGTATTATTCAATATGTATGATGAAAAATAATCTTTCGAACAACTAATCCTCACAAGAAAACTATAGACTTATCCTTACATTGTTACAAACAAATGCACAATTTCATCATAGTATAATGACTTGCTTCTACGGTAAAGGTGAGCTAAGTCCTTCTTGCGAAGCCATAGGATGAAGAGGTTGAGGATGGCCAGATGAGAACGAAGACTTCCTTTTTCGAAACGACGGTCTCTTCATCATACGCCTAAGAGTTGCTTTGGTATAGATTTCTCTAAATATAGGGGTAATCCTCTCATTGAACTTCAATACAAGAAAGAAGACAACTCTGTAGGAGAGGAGCAAAACGAAAATCATCGATAGATCGAACCATTTTGATTGTTTTAAGCTGATACCAAAAATGTTTTGTATGATGTATTCTCCACTTAGCTTTGGACCACCAGGTATCATGGGATCAAATTCTTGCCCGAGGAAGTCGTTCTTGTAATTACCCTGCAAAAAATGATAGAAGATCATGATATGTATTTTGGTAGGAAAATAAAATAAAAAGAACCTAAAGTCTTATGTTAGAGGTATATGATCATGGGGAGAGAACTCCCGAAGAACGTGGGAGAAATAGTACATGATAAGAGGGCTAAAAATTAGAAAACAACAACACAAAAAAAAAACAATTTGATAACGCTTGAGTATTGTTTAGTAGAAACAGAAGTTTTTGGTATATTCAAGCATAATGACGTCCCAATGTCCTACCTATATCATTATCAATCAATCTAACTAGTATTAGATCTTCAAAAATATAAATTTCTCCTTGGGGGATGAAAATGGTACACCATCAACAAACAGTAGTATGATAACAATGAGAATGTAGCACTGAAAACATTTCATATATCTAAGATATATGCTCTTTTAATTAACCATTCTGGACTTAATAGGTGATGCGCATTGACACACGCATTTGTGCATTGTGTGGTTGTCTGTCTCTGTATACAATGTGCAGTTTCCATGATATACGCGTGTTCTACATTTTGAAAGCTTTATTATGACTCTTCATAATGGTAACTTACCATACTGATACTAAATTACACAAATATGCATGTTATTCCTCTAGAACCTCAAATCACGTTTGCAGGTTGCTAACCCAAAAACCATTCAATAAGGAAATTTTTTCAGACGCATTTTCAGAAGAAGAAAAAACTGATCTTTTTCATGAATAATGCGTCACTCGATCTGTTTGCAATAATCTCATTCACTCTGAAGTTTACTGAACAACAAAAATCTCTGCGATGATTTTATAGCCTAGATTGAATCTGATATAATTGGAATTAAACTTTCCACGTATAATATCTGAATGAAATACCTGCAAAGCCCATGATCCATAACTGATATATGACACCGGATAGCGCCAAACAATCTTCGGAAGTTCTGGAAGCAACCGGAAGAATCCAGCAGTCATCATCATAAGCCCCTGATTATCAACAAATCATAGAAAATGTAAGCTTCACAAAAACACATAAACACAATACTGAACAGGGCTTGTTGCGGATGGACACCCTGTACTATCGGCAAATTGAACTTACTACCCTTGTAGTCCTATTGTTGTAGATAGACCCCTTGAAAGAGTTGCAGATAAACATCTGTGTGAAAATTTATTGTTGCAGATAGATCCCTTGAAAATGCTCAAAAGAATTCATTCAGAGGATCCATCTGCAACAATAGAACTACTGGGGTAGCATGTTGAATTTTGCGATAGTACAGGGGGTTCTATCCGCAATTAACCCTACAAAATATTACACTTACAATAATGCCAGCTCCTGTAACAAGCCCCATCATAAAATTAGGCACAAGCGACGCAACAATCATCATTAGACTCTCAATCACACCAATACCGGCATAGAGACTGATACAGAAGTAGGCATAATGTTCAAAACCCTTGCGAAACTTTGCCATGAAGTAAACTATAGTCCCTGAACATGTAGCAACTCCTACTAAGAAAGGAAATGACGAAATATAGTTCGAAATAATGAACACAGCGACTCCATAATGTCCATTTTGCCTCTCTCGATAGAAAACCTTCATTTCTTCAATAAAGGACGGGAAACCACCGATGGACATAAATGTCAAAAATCCTGATACAAAGCCTCCACATGATGCTCGAGCTAATATAGCGGTGTAGCCAGTTCCTACGTCGTAGTATATGCTACCGACACATGTAGACACTACTATATAGATTGCTATACGTAGCCAGTAGTATCCAATATCTCTTGACATGTTGATAAAAGATCTCCTTGTCAGAGTTGTTAGTTGCTTCAACCACATTGCTTGGCTCCCTTTACCTGACTCCATATTAAGTCCTTCCTACAATGTTTCGTCGATTAATTTCAAATTTCCATGAAAATTGTAGAGAGATACTAGATTTAACGAAGAAAGAAATTTACGATTTTGGATATCTCTTGAATTCTTTTCTTGGTCATTGATGCGTAATCTGAGTTCCTGTAGTTCTCGATAAGCATAGCTTTGATCTCTGAGGTTCTTAATTTCGATAACAGGTCCGAAGATGATTCTGGTTCCATCCGAATTTTCAGGGAACCTTTCAATGTAGCATTCACTTGATCAAAATCAGAGTTAATGCAACGAAGAAAGTGGTCTGAAGGATTTCTTCTGCTAGGACAAGGGAATCCAACTTCTGCAAAGAACTACATAGCATACCAAAGAGAAAATCAGTATCAAACTAAATTATTTTAGGGTCAATTGCCGATAAACCCCTGTATTCTGACGCAATTGTGGATGGGCCCCCTAGTTCAATTGTTGCGGATCGACCACCAGAGTGAAACTCTTTTTATTTTTTTTACTCTTTTTACCTCAGAGAGAGAGAGAGAGAGAGATAGAGAACTGTTTTCACAGATAGACCTCCTGAGGGTAAAAGATTTAAAAAAAATATCACTCAAGGAGCCTACCGCAAGTAATCTATCATTTTCCTAGGATAAATTTCTTCATTACCTTAGTAGCTGAGTTGGTGTCACCAAAATAAACAGCTTCACCGCCAGATAAAAGGTACAAATCATCAAACAAGGCAAAAACTTCACTGCTTGGTTGGTGCACAGAGGAGATTATAGTCTTGTTGCCATCAAGGGCCATTTGTTTCAGAGTTTGGATAACTGAGAAGGATGCTGCGCTATCAAGGCCACTCGTGGGCTCGTCTAAGAACAGAAGGCGAGGCTTAGTCAGAATCTCGATGGCGATGCTGAGCCTCTTCTTTTCCCCGCCGCTTATCCCTCTAAGATGCCAGTTTCCTATTTGTCTATCGGCACAATCTTGAAGACCCATTTCCTCTATTGTCCATTCAACGACCTCTGATATCTCCTTGTTGGTCATTTTGGTTGGAAGTCTTAGGTGAGCTGAGTACGTTAAGGTTTCACGGACTGTGAGTGTGCCTAACAGAATGTTTTCTTGAGTCACATATGCCTGTAAAATACCAAAGTGAACAGATAATATCTGCATGATTAGTACCAAGATCAGAATCTTGCTGGAAATCAATGTTCCAGGTATTGAATTAACTGGATTTACCTTGAATTCAGAATTAAATTGCAAATATACACATACATACGCACACTAACAGAGTTCCTTATTACCGATGTTTGATGTTGTCCATCAATATATATTTATGCTATGTTCATAAATTAGACGGTATCAATTGGACTGTAAGAGCATCTCCAACAGCTTCCCTAAAAATTTCTCCAAAATGGGGAATCAAATGTCATATTCTCCAAATTATTTTTGCTCCAACTCCAACAGCTTCCCCATTTTGAAGAATCATGCATTTATTACAATAATAAAAATATTCTACATCTTTGACTAATAAATAATAAATTATTTATTATTTTGAAGAATCCCCATTTTGACCAAATTATTTATTATTATAATGAGGAGATGGAGTTGTTTTTTGTGGGTTGAGTCTAGAAGAACGTGAAAAAGTGCTTCCCCAAATATTTGCAGAATGCTGCAGATTTGGGGAAGGCTCTCTATTTTTTCTCTCCTATCCCCATTTTGGGGAATGAGATGGGGAATCTGTTGGACCAAAAAAAAGCTTAAAATTCTCCAAATTTTAGAATACCAAGAAGATGGGGAAGCTGTTGGAGATGCTCTAAAGGCATCTACTTTTCACTGCAAGTTCGAATAAAATGTTAAATTAAGATTGTAGCTCTGTACAGTACAAGGATCACTGTAGGATCTGTAGATTTTTTTTTTTTTTTTACCTATTTCAGTTTGCATATGCTTCATATTTTTTTGAAGCTATGCCTGCCCAAATCAGACCCAAAAAAACCCCATAAAATCCTCCAAATTACAGATTCAGATCCCTGTCAATTTGGCAAGTAGCAGTGCAAGGATCACGTCCTCAGTCATAATCGTCTATCATTTAATTGAGGATTGTGATTTATCTCAAGTAACAAAGATGAGATTGTGATTAAGAAAGGATTCATCCAAAACTGAACACTATCATGTACAGAAAGGGAAGTATATATTTTTAATCTAAGAAGACAAACTCTAACTTTTTCTATGTAAAAGATATATTTTTTGTATTTACATAGTCTGTACTCTCGCTTACTATAAATGGAATCTTTTCCTACTCCAAACAAAATCATTGCTTTTCTCAAATACTCGTCATTTCAACATGAAATAAAAATAAAAATATACTCACCACGCCACCGTAGTTAAGCCTCTTCTTCTTTCCGTTGAGCAGCACGTCCCCCGTCAACACCACATTCTTCGCTAGCCTCCCTGTTAATTAATTAATTAAAAAAATGGCCCATTTCAAAACTTTTAAAATAATAATAATAAATAAATAAACTAAACTAAAATCACACAAAAGAGAAAAAAAAATGTTCATTTCTTTATAACCCAAATTTTTTTTTCCTAATTTATTCTGAATACCACCACTTCCAAAATCATTTTTAAACCCAAAATACACATGAGTAATAATTTCAAACGCTAATATAGCTAATATACGAAACATAGCTGAAATTGGATTTAAAAGTATTATTATGTATTTAAAAATGAACCGTGATGAAACTTTGAGGATGCAGACATAAAACCCACAAAAAATTCTGAAAATACCTGATAAGGAGTCGAGCAGAGTGGACTTGCCAGACCCAGACGGGCCCATAACGGCCATGAGCCGGCCGGGGACAGCAAAACCGGTCAGCCCATGAAGCAACTTCTTCGGGGCCCGGCCCGGCCCATGAAAAGGCAGGACGGCCGTTAGCTCCTCCCATACAAGATAAGCACCTCCTCCTCCTCCTCCATTGCCTATCTCCATTTCCTCCATCAAGAATTGAGACAGCTGGGAGCGGTATTAATACTGAGCCATGAATCATGAAGGTTGATGGTGGCAGCTAGAAAATGACATGAGACGGTAAAAGATGAAGATGTATGCAAGTTCATAGCTAAGTTTTGTGTATTTATTGCTTGTTTACCTGTTCCTTAGGCAGCAAGCAGTGGCATTTACTCGTATATTTTACTTCTTTTGAGGGAGATGAGAGATTTATAATTATTGTCCAATTTATTAACGGAAACAGTAGCGGATGGAGGGAGTAATTGAAGCATACAAGTGTAAATATTATGGTAGCGATGGGATTATATCGTCATCATGTCCTATTAATTGAAGGCTGACAAGTGACCCTAGGACATTTTTTAATTAAGATTCATTAATTAGGTCCTCAATCACTTTAATAGTCTAGATAATTGAAGCCTAATTAATGGCTCTTAACCAGTGTCGTAGGGGCGCTTGTTGAAACATTAATGTCTCATGGACCCAAATAATGGACCCAAGGCATGGGACATGTGAGGTGTCACCATCCAGTTGCATGATGCACTGTTTATGAACAGTACATCATGCAACCGAATAGTGACACCTCACCTGTCTGATGTCTTGGATCCCCTATTTGGGTCCCTGTAGCATCACCCGCCATGCTGAGTTTTAAATGGCATGCATCATGATAGACTTTCCATTTGAAGATGTTTTGATTTTTTTTTTCCCCAGAGCAGTCACAGTAATTAAATATACAATCAAATTTTACATGAGGTTGGAGATGAGTAGAGGTGAGAATTAATCGATTTTAACCATTTAAATTAACTAAACTGATCGAATTTCAACGGCTCAATTTTGTATGAGAATATATTTTGATCTGTTTAGTTTGAGAAACTTCCAATCTG